CCCGCCCCGCCGCGGTGGCGGGAAGCAGGTAAGGCCGCTCCTGCCCTGCGCCCAGCCCGCCCTGCCGCCCAGCCCTGGGTATAAATAACCTTCGCACCCTTCTTAAAGGGGCAGCGGGTGCCAGGCTTACTTGGGACTGGCTCTTCCAACCTGTCCCGGCCCACCTGGGCCTGAGACGGATACTGCGCCCGACTCCCTCCTGTAGTGGACCTCTGGCCACCTCAAGCCAAAGGCCACCTCCGTTGAGGAACACTGGCAGGGAGCTGTGGCTTCTGGGGACTGCCAGTTGCTATGTGCCCTTGGACAAGGCCCTGGAATTCTGCACTCCTCCGCTCTAAAGGTCTGACAGACCAGCCGTCCTGGCCCTGCCCTTTCTGCAGAGTGGACAAGACCCTCTGTCTGCTCCTCCAACCTCTGACTCCTGCTGCCCACCCTCCTATAGACAGGGTGCATGCCACCCTCCAGCCACCGGGAACCTCCCTGGCACCTCACTCTGCTCATCTCCAGCCCCAGCACAGCCAGCCTCCTCCGGAGGAAGAAGGAAAGCACCCCCCCACCCGCCCCATTCCCCTTGAAAAACATCCTCAGTGAGGCAGGGATGTGGGTGCTGCTCTGACCCCCAAACTCGGGGATCTTCCTGGTGGTCCACCCAGACCAGGGCAGGGCACGCAGTGAGTGTCCCCGAACTGCTGTGAATGCAGGCATTCGGGAAGCAGCAGGCCCTCCTCTTCTTGCACCCGTGCACCCTGGGGCCTCAGGAGCCCCAGGGTTCGGGGAGGGAAGGGCGTGCTGTGGAGTCGGCCACGCCCCCTGCACTTGGCTCTGCCAGTTTCAGTTGGTGTGTGAGCACCTACCTGGGGGTGAACAGGCCAGGCAGGACCCTATTTCTAGTGCCCACACAGGGTCTGGCGCATAGTGGGCACTCCCTGGATGGTCAATAAAGGGAGAGTCAGGCGGGCTGTGAGGGTGGGAGGGGCTGAGAAGGGAGCCAGGACCCAGAGCCTCCCAGAATCCACCTGAGCCTGGAATCCTGGCCGAAGCTGGGAGGATCCAGGATCAAAGTTTCAGGCCTAATGGGAAGCTGCCAGGCAAGCCTCCCTTGCTGCCTCTGCCCTCCTCCCTTTTCCCAACGGGAAGACTACAGGTGTGGTTGGGCTGGGCGGCCCAGGACAGGGTTTCAGAAGGGTAGGGCGTCCAGAATGGCTCAGTGGAGGGGGACACGGAAGGGTAGGGCTTCCAGAATGGCTCAGTGGAGGGGGACATCGAAGGGTAGGTTGTCCAGAATGGCTCAGTGGAGGGGGACACGGAAGGGTAGGGCGTCCGGAATGACCCAGTGGAGGGGGACACGGAAGGGTAGGGCGTCCAGAATGGCTCAGTGGCGGCAGACACCGAAGCCCAGTGCTGACCTGCCTTCTCAAAATGTGAGGCTGGGTTCTGTTTCTGACCTCTTCACCCTCCCCGCAGGACAGACCCCAGAACCTTGTGGCTCAGTGTTCCCTTTCTCTGCAGTGGGCACTTACCCGGAGCAGCCTCAGGAAGCGGAAGGTTCCTGAACTGGCAGCTTGACACCTGATACCCTGGGGAAGTCTCTGGAGTCCAGGTGCTCCTGCCCTGTCCGAGCCAGACCTCTCTGGGCCCGGGCTTGTCCAGTTCCGTAGGTCTGTAAGTCCTTGAGAGCAAGGCCTGGCTCGTACCTCTTCCCTCCTAAGCCTGTCCAGGCCTGCGCCGGAGGTCTGTCCTGAGGACAGGGCCAGTCCATGTGGGCAGCAGCTGACGTGGGAACAACCTGAGCCTCGTTATAGGCCACCCGAGCTCTTGACCCCCTGCCTACCTCCTGCCCAGGCCCCCTTCCTGCCAGACCCAGGGGCCCGGGCAGCAGAAGCACCCTGCAGTTCTGGGTCTGACCCAGTGGAGCTGCGGTGTGTCTTGGCTGGGTGCCAGGCGTACTGTAGGGCGCTCCTTTGTCACCCTTGGCTGCTGAGTTATAGAAGGCTGCAAACCCCATCGTTTGGATCAGACGCTGTTCCTTCAGCGAACATTGGCATCATGGCTTTTAGAACCGCAGGCATAAGGAGACCACAGAGGTCACCAGCCAACCCTTCCTGGGGCCCTTTGGCTGTAGCCTCCTCCCAGGGAGGACCTCAGTCTCATCTGACTCCTGCGGCGTCCTCTGGGGCCCAGCAAGCTGCTGGTCTTGGGGGCATGGTGAACGGTGGGCGGGGCTGACATCAGTGGGCGCCTAACTGCACCCAGATGGCAAGAATGGAGGGCAGGTGGAGCAGGCTGCCGGCTAGGCCTCCCACTAGCAGGTGACTTGGATGAGACAGCCACTCTGGGCCTGAGTGTCCCCCCCAGTAAGGGGAAATAGCCCCACACTCTCACGGGCTGTTGGGAGGGTGGAATGAGTTACTCTGGTGCCCTGGGACAGTGGGACTGTCACGACTGGTGAGGCTCATGTCACCGCCCCACCTCACAGGGGACAGGAGAAAGCAGACCCAGGGCTCTGAAGCGCAGTTGCTCTCCCACAGCACCAGATGGCACCGCCGGGGAACTCCGGACATTCGGGCCCTTCCCTCCGCCTTAACCTGTGTCTACCTCTGCGGTTGTTTCAAGGGGCCCCGCAGCAGCCGCAGTACAGATTTGTCTGTGAGAACTGCGACGTCTGGTGGCGCGTGCAGGATGTGGGTGAGGAGGCCAGTGGCTGGCGCTGGGGTGGTGGCAGCAGGGCTGCGAGGTGGGTGGAACAGAAATAGCCCACCTCAGGCCCTTTGACCCACCGCTTGTGGCTGTGGGCGCTGCCCTGGTGGCTTCCGCCTGGAGCGGCTGGGTGCCTGGTGTGATTTCGGGGGCTCTGAAACCTCCTTTGCTCCATTCCCAAGCCAAAAGGACTTTCCGGAACAGCCTGCGGTGGGGACGAGGCTGGAGGCTTCCCTCATACTCCCAGTGGCCCTGAGGGAGGGACACGCCACCATGACAGCCCTCAAGACTGCTGGTGTGGATGTGGCCCCACTGTGCCACTTAATCTCCCTGAGGGCAGTCATGAGAACTAAGGAGCAGGTCAAACCCGATGCCCGGCGTGGGGCTGGCTCTCTGCCACGGGGCTTGGCTGGAGCCCTGGCCAGGAGCCTGCAGACACTGTGGGATGGGCATCAGGAGGCCTGATGGGGGCCAGAAGGTGATGTAGTGTTACGGTACTGAACTCCCACATGGCCACTGTGGTTCAAATCCCGGACCAAGTGGCTTGAGAATCATGCCGGGCATATGCCTGTGTGCCCCAAATCCTAGGAGAATAGAGAAGAAACTGCAGCATGGCCAGCCCCTGGGGCGCTGATTTCTCACTTTCCCTTTCTCTCTCTGGCCAGTGCACATGCCCTGTGGCCAAAAAACTTAAAAAAAAAAAGGGCGCGGATGGGGCTGGCTCCCCGGGTGAGCAGCAGCCTCCACTTCTCTGGGCTGCTGTGAGCAGAGTGCAGAGCGCTGCGGTTGCTAAAAACAAAATTAACTGCCGCCTCTGGCCAAACGACTCAAAGTGGAAGTGTGGTGGAAGTGCGGCCACGAGGTCTGGGAAGTCCCGCTGCTCTTAGCATAGTGGGCGGGGCCAACGTGCCAGAGTCGGAGGCCACGCCCCAGCGCACCGGCCCAGCCCCCGGGAACTCCAGACTGCCTCTGTGCCGCTGGTGGTCCCACCGCTCTGTATTGGCACAGTACTTGGTGAGCGACTCCTCCAGGTAGTGGAGGCCGTAACTAGCTGGACCCCGCCCTAGATTCTAGGACAGATGCTGGCTTCATGGGCCCTTGTGTCCGGCTCCCTCCCTACTCTCAGGGCACCAGCCCATGAGCTCGCTGAGGTCAGGTACATGCCTGGCACAGGAGCTGCTCAGGCAGCGCGGCCACGACGGGCCTGGGGGGGGAAGGCAGTTCTGGAAGACAGATTTCCCGGCCCTGCGCCATCCCTGGTCATTGCAGGGCAACAGCTTGGGCCCTTCTGCCCAGGCAGAGTGAGGCCTTCCAGCTCATGAGGTCCCTCTTGCATTTTCAAACAAGGAACCCAAAGGCCAAAAAGGGAAGCACCTCACACAGTGCAGTCACAGCAAGCCAGCAACCAGCTGGAACCTGGCCAGCCCCCAGCTCCCCGTCGCCTGGCTCCCCACTTCTTCGCAGCCAGGGAACGACCGC